GCATGATTTGTACAGATCAGTTAGGCCGACAACAGAAGGCATGATTTGTACAGATCAGTTAGGCCAACAACAGAAGGCATGATTTGTACAGATCAGATCAGTTAGGCCGACAACAGAAAGCATGATTTGTACAAATCAGTTAGGCCGACAATAGAAGGCATGATTTGAACAGATCAGTTAGGCCAACAACAGAAGGCATGATTTGTACAGATCAGTTAGGCCGACAACAGAAAGCATGATTTGAACAGATCAGTTAGACCAACAAAAGAAAGCATGATTTGTACAGATCAGTTAGGCCAACAACAGAATGCATGATTTGTACAGATCAGTTAGGCCAATAACTTTTATCAATGGAAAATTCTTCTCACCATTTAGGGTATAACATCACATGATATTTTGAAGCTAAAGCTGATGCTGATGCAATAAATCATACACTTGCTCAGTATCAAGCACATTTTGGTATCACAGGAATGAACAACAATAAGAAACAATTCAACAAAAACTACATTATGTATCTGTACAGAGGAAATTTGTTTGTTTTTAACGCTCATTACTACTATATGTTAGACACCAAAAACAAGTCACAAATCCAAAGACAGCTTACAGCACACTAATGTGGTGGTCATCGGAAGAGCTGGCATAAAAATTGACCATGTGACAATCACATAACCGCTACATGAGAGCCCTTGTGTTATTAGCAATCAAAAGTCAGTGAAATATCATCAAATCTAAAGTGAGCAGCTGGCTGAATGATCGACCATTAATAAAACACGAGATTTTCATGTCCCACACTATGAGCCTATATCAGTGGGATCTGCCTCACACGCCGAGATCTGGCATGTATTGTAACTCAAACACAATGACATACATGTACGACTTAAATAGTTTGGTTAAGACTTAAGTTCAGACGTTTTAGCCACAATTACCTCAAGGTTCTCCTGGAAATGGTTAATCAGCGACTTACCTTCCTCCCAGCTGGCATTGAAGCCAGACAGTTGAATGCTATCATCTGATTTGAAAATGACTAAAAGTATATTATTGGACGAAAGCTTGACTTCTGGTATGTCAGCGCCTGAAAGTCTACCGACCAGCGGTTCATTTAAGGTGCTCCCATCATAGATTTCTACTACATCATTCAGCTCTTCTATCTCGAAGCTGTCAAACTGGAAACAGAAAAAGTCATTTAGCGATGTATTCTACAGAAGTGCAACACCTTCACCACTTACAGTACCACAAAACTTTACTCAAAACTATACAAACTGCTCACCAACCTTACTCAAAACTATACATACTGCTCACCAACCTTACTCAAAATTATACATACTGCTCACCAACCTTACTCAAAATGTATACATACTGCTCACCAACCTTACTCAAAACTATACATACTGCTCACCAACCTTACTCAAAATGTATACATACTGCTCACCAACCTTACTCAAAATGTATACATACTGCTCACCAACCTTACTCAAAATGTATACATACTGCTCACCAACCTTACTCAAAATGTATACATACTGCTCACCAACCTTACTCAAAATGTATACATACTGCTCACCAACCTTACTCAAAATGTATACATACTGCTCACCAACCTTACTCAAAATGTATACATACTGCTCACCAACCTTACTCAAAATGTATACATACTGCTCACCAACCTTACTCAAAATGTATACATACTGCTCACCAACCTTACTCAAAATGTATACATACTGCTCACCAACCTTACTCAAAATGTATACATACTGCTCACCAACCTTACTCAAAATGTATACATACTGCTCACCAACCTTACTCAAAATGTATACATACTGCTCACCAACCTTACTCAAAATGTATACATACTGCTCACCAACCTTACTCAAAATGTATACATACTGCTCACCAACCTTACTCAAAATGTATACATACTGCTCACCAACCTTACTCAAAATGTATACATACTGCTCACCAACCTTACTCAAAATGTATACGTACTGCTCACCAACCTTACTCAAAATGTATACATGCTGCTCACCAACCTTACTCAAAATTATACGTACTGCTCATCAACCTTACTCAAAATGTATACATACTGCTCACCAACCTTACTCAAAATGTATACATGCTGCTCACCAACCTTACTGAAAATGTATACATGCTGCTCAACAACCTTACTCAAAATTATACATACTGCTCACCAACCTTACTCAAAATTATACATACTGCTCACCAACCTCACTCAAAATGTATACATGCTGCTCACCAACCTTACTCAAAATGTATACATGCTGCTCACCAACCTTACTCAAAATTATACATGCTGCTCACAAACCTTACTCAAAAATTATAAATACTGCTCACAGACCTTATACAAAAAATATTCGTACTGCTCACCAACCTTACTCAAAATTATACATAAAGCTACCCAACCTTACTCAAAAATTATACGTACTGCTCACCAACCTTACTCAAAATGTATACATGCTGCTCACCAACCTTACTCAAAAATTATACATTCTGCTCACAAACCTTATACAAAAATTATTCATACTGCTCACCAACCTTACTCAAAATTATACATAAAGCTAACCAACCTTACTCAAAAATTATAAATACTGCTCACCAACCTTACTCAAAATTATACATAAAGCTCACCAACCTTACTCAAAATTATACATAAAGCTCACCAACCTTACTCAAAAATTATAAATACTGCTCACGAACCTTACTCAAACATTATAAATATTGCCCACCAACCTTACTCAAAATTATACATAAAGCTCACCAACCTTACTCAAAATTATACATAAAGCTCACAAACCTTATTCAAAAATTATATATATACTGCTCACCAACCTTACTCAAAAATTATATATACTGCTCACCAACCTTACTCAAAAACTATACATACTGCTCACCAACCTTACTCAAAATGTATACATACTGCTTACCAACCTTACTGAAACATTATACATACTGCTCACCAACCTTACTCAAAAATTATATATATACTGCTCACCAACCTTACTCAAAAATTATACGCACTGCTCACCAACCTTACTCAAACATTATACGTACTGCTCACCAACCTTACTTAAAATTATACATACTGCTCACAAATCTTACTCAAAAATTATGTATACTCCTCACCAACCTTACTCAAAAATTGAGCATCCTTATACAACTTGTACTTCACCTACTAAACTGAAGAGTTCCTGCAATTGACACAGCAAATATAGTTGTGCATACACAAAGCCTGCTGCTTTAAAGATTTGACGAACAGCAGCGACTATACAATTCATACTTAATGTAGTTAACATATTTTACATGGTAGGAATACTACTCTATTTGTGATGTTGTTAAAAAAGAATCAACGGACCAGGCAAAGTACTCAGTCTCCTCCTGATGCTTCTTGTAAAACATTTATGAAAATACTGAATGTTAAAGTGATAAAGGACATAAATTTGTACTATATTACTCAGCAAAGTTGACTTATTTCTTGGACGTGGTTAGAAGGGGAAGAAGACCGTCATACTTCACAGCTAGTTGAAGGAATACATTGATACCTTTGAAAAAACTATTTAATTGAATTGGGATTGCCTCTCTTAATTCGTCCATAGTATTTTCTTTATCAATCATACAAATTAATTGTATAAGGAATGTCACCCTTTACACATATTCCAATTCATCTAATACCATTAAAACTAATGCAACATAAAATGAACAGAAGTACCAACAGGACGATACCATTATGTGGGTTCCATCAAAGGTGAACGAATAAGAATTCATAAATTACTGTCAAACTTCTCTATTTAACCACATTCTACAAAGAAATAATAAAGTTTGAATAGGGACAGAAATTTCCAAATACCTGAAAAGTACCTACCTTTAATTGTATTTTGGTACCTATGGATGATTCTATACTCCAGTGACATGATGACAATTTCGGGTATGATTGTGGAAAGTTTGGCGAATGGAATGTTTTTTGTGTTCCTTGGAGATGACCACCACATGTGGCTGAAAAGAGAGAAAATAAATGATTAGTTAATTCGAGTATTAAATTAATGCATCATACCTTTTTATGAAACATTTTCAAAAGTATGGGTCAAAGGTCAAGTCATAGGTCACAGTTACCTAATTCTTGCAATCTGCACTCCGCCATCCCATGATGTCCTTGTACACCAAATCTGGGTACTCCAGGTGAAAAAGTATAGAAGATATGCCCCGGACAAACTTTATCAAAAGTTAAGGTAAAAGCATAGGATTTTCAAATTTGGCAAAACCCAGATTTGAAAACCCCTCGGGTGGAATTTCCCTATACTACACCCATGGGCATGAAAGAGTCTTAAAATATTACTGTTTTTGCATCAGTAAAGCAGTCAGGTATTAGCTGTGTGCACAACACAACATGAGTATGGAGTGTTAGGGCGACACCAGAAATGTCTCTAGGACAATCATCATTACGGTTAATACCTGCTACATAGTGCATGTCAGTGTGGCCCAGTGTGATATAAACAAACCTGACATGTGGCCTTCCTAATGACACCAACACTGTCAGCCCTCATTAACAACCCAGACCTCGACACTCCCCTAGTAAATTTTCTCTATTTTTGAATCATGTGTTTCTTTATCTCTCCATTTTAAAGAATTTCTTTCTTGTACATTTATGCACACAAATGTTTTTTATTCAATTGATAAATTTTCATATTATTTTCATTTGTACACATGTGAAGCAGATTGTAGATTTCACCTGAAAACATGGTAGAAATTATTCACCAATGATTTTCCTCAAGAGGAGATCATTTAAAGGGGATAGATCCCCTTTCTGGGGGTTGACATCTGTGGTGCCACTTCTACACCTTTTTGACATTAGTATGTGTTACAAACGAGCACTTGCATCATTGAATATTGTATAAAGGTCAGGTGTATCAATTTATTTCAAACTATAAACTACATTGAGTGAGAGTCCTACAGTAATTGATACCTCATTTACACCTACAGTGCTCTAAAGCCAAATTAACGTAACTGTTACAATCATGTATTATAACCTTTTCACAAAGTAAAAACCCAAGCTAAATATTACAGCTATTGATTAGGTGTTCTATAGGCCGTACACCTGACAGTTAACACAGTAGATACTAGGAGCCTTAATTATAACAGGATAATTACATTACCTCTGCCCCTCCCTGTGTGCTGGGAAACATATGCTACCCCACCTGTGCTGGAGCTGTGCACTTAAACCTTTTGTTTTGTATCCAATTGTGCAAAGATTTTACTAAACTTTGAACTTATCAAAGTTTTATCAAAATTTGATCATATTTGATTAAGTTTATATTGTTGGATTCTGTCCACCAATCAAATCAGAGCACATTATGCTTTATAATGATGCATGAATGTTGCTTCATACTTAGCCTCAGTCTTTGTATATTTAAATGCTTCAAGATTCATCAAAATCCAACAAAGCAAGTTATCTTCATGATTTGTGGAACAGTGAAAACACTCCCCATACCATAAGGGAAAGTGGCAGTACTTTGGTCAAAATTTCAAAAACAAAAACAAATACAAATAAGACATAACCAACCAGTTCAACCAAACCCTATCCATCAAAATCAAGATTAAATCAGACAAGCACACCGCTCCTTACAGTACTGATCATGTGTACAAAGTTGATCACTTAAAAGCACTTAAAATCTGTGTTATTTATTACAAGAGGCCCATGGGCCTTAACGGTCTCCTGAGTCCTACAGTATTTATTTTTGTTGTTGAAATATGTACCAATTTGAGTAAAAAATAGTTAAGTATAATGTTAACTTAACTTTGTCAGGACCATGAGCTGATCATTCCTAGACCGATTTTAAATAAGATCAGCCTATTAGAAATTGTTTTTAAGTTTAGAATAGGTATTTACAAAATAGCGGCTGTGGTGGCCATATTGGATTTCTGATTGACCTGAAAAATAACAACACTTTGTCAGGACCATGAGGCGATCATTCCTACCAACTTTCAGTTCAATCGGCCCAGCAGAACTTGACTTTAAGTTTGAAATGTAAAATGTTAACGGACGACGGACGACGACGACGGACGAAAACGGATAGCAATAGGTCACTTGAGCTAAAGCTCAGGTGACCTAATAATGTACATTTACTTCTTCTAAGCGAGACCAAGACCTAAATAATGTTGTATTTGATATGCCAAATGGCCTTGCTAAGTGACCTTGCTTAGTCAGATGGAAGGTAAATCATTGTCATACACAGCTTTCCATAAATCAACTCAAGTTGTCTTAAAGCTTGTTTTGAGGGAACAAATTCCATATCACCTTCATTAGATCTGACACTACCGGGTAGTTCTCTTGTCTATGTATCTGGTAGGCAATAATCTCACTGCTGCTTCCTAACATCCAGGCCAGCATTCCTTAGTGACAGGTGAAAATCTACTTGCCATGTTCCTGCTTGTAAGTGTTAAACCAGAGACTGGATTAGATGCATCCTATGAAGGGAGGTGTTTATGATGGAGGTTTGGGACTGCCAGGTCTAAATTTAGTCTTAATGGTTATACCAAGAAAATGTAGCATGATTTCAAAGATGTCCCAAAAATCAGAGGATACATTTTAACCATTTTAAGAAACAGACCGCAGATATCAACTCTTCTATCCACCACTGAAAGTAGATGAGTATGCAATAAATGTCTCATGTTTAACCAATTAACTACAATAATTTTACCTCTACAATTTTGTTCATCCGACTCGTCGGCACAGTCTTTCTTTCCGTCACACACAGATGAGTTGCTGATACACCTACTACCATCCTTGCACCGGAAATGATCTATAACACACGCATTACTCTCACACACAAAAGGTAGACGATCCTCACATCTACCCAACCCCCACCGGTACTTTCCATACTGTGTGGGGAGCAGGCTGATAGAACAGCATTGCCTGATACCTGTCAACAGAAAACATACATTGTTAAACATTGTTTTTTAAATCTATCTGGAAGTTAAGAGTAAAATTGCATGTATCTGATCCGGTAGACTGTAAGTTCATTTTATAAGAATCAAGAAAAACCATGACCATACTGAAAAGGGCTGTGAGAGACACTGCTCTGTATCCTCATACAAGTATGAACTATAACAACAGTAATACTAAAATGCATTAGAAAACCAGGGTTGTATATATATGATTGTAAAATTGTTTATTTGTTAACAATTGGAAAAATGTACGGAGGTAAACTGTTGTATCACCAAAAATTTACAACAGAATTTACATTGTATCTATGAATGACAAAACACTGTTTTACAATAGAAAGTACACAAATTACATACAATCGATAAAATATAGTCTGATGATTGGGATAGCGTTGTGGTACAAATGGGAGAATATTGTATAATTATATCTCTCAGAGAACTTTATATCAAAATTACAAAGTTAAAGAACATATATTGTAAACTGTTTATACTGCATTATACATAATGTACAAGACAAGGTTAGAGAGATGACGTAAGGGTTGTATCTAATATACTGTGTGTAAACAAGGACAGAGGGATCACACACAGTAGTAAACACTGCCTGGTTAGGTTGCTTTGATCTGCTATTTATTGCTGAATGGAAGTGTAGCCTTGGATTATTAGTAAACTAACACCTGTTAAGTAATGGTACATAAAGAAGTCTGGCTATGTGGAAATATCCTGTTTCTATTTTTTAGTAATTTATTACCACTTAAACGGTCTGTTATTCAGTATTCTAACAAACAATTATTCAATATTAATTCCAACACATAATTTATAGGATCACCTTTCACTTAGAAATAATTAATGTCTTAGAAGGTCAAAACCACAAACAAATAAAATGACAGGGCTGACATTCCAAGTTATTTTGAGTAGAAAAATATGTGTTCATATCAGACCCACACACAACAGAACAATTACCGTCAACATTCAGCAGGACGGCTGTAACAAAATCACAATACTGGAGACCTTGTCCACCTCCTTACACCCTATTTACTCAAACAATTATATAATTACTAATAATTACCACACAAAATGTCCTCCCATTCCAAGCTGACCATACTGTTAGTGTTACTGCTAGTTTTGCACCATGAATTTTTATTTTTAATCATTTGAATTATCCACGAATGTTAGTATAGAAGGTTTGTAATATAAAAGCTTCCTTGTTTGGCAGAACCTGTTACAGGTAAAATAATGTATGCAAGATAGGATGGTGTGACAGGTATGATCTTTGTAGGCTGAGAAACCATCGGTCTAACATTCTTCTCGTGAAGCCTATTAAGGAAATGTACTGTATTTCCATACACTGTTTATATACACAGTATGAAAATAAACTTTATCTATTTTACAACAATTATGAAACAAGTTATTTCAACTTTTATTAATCACTCTTGTTGGCCTGGATGTTAGTGCACAGAGGGTCTATCTGTGGGAGGAAACCAGAGTACCCAGAGAAAATCCACGTGGTCGGGCAGGTGACCCCATACCTTTTCACGTTCGATTGGAAAATCGAACCCTGACTGCCTTGGTAAAAGGCAAGTGTACATGTGCTATCCACTGCATCACCCGACACAGTATTGAGACCTGTAACAATAGGTGATTTACCTAATTGAAAGACTAATGGTTGATGGAGGGACCAGAATCCCTCTTTAGCCTGTGCTAGCTGTCCATTTGTCCACAAAAACTCTCCATACTCATCTTGATACAATCCTGCAACAGAAATAACCAAATTTTGGATTTCATAATGATTCGGCTGCTGAACTACTCAGTAGTGAAGCAGACGTAAAACCAATCAATCAATCAATACTTACCTTATTAAAGCTTATCAGAGTTGTTGGTGTGATTCAAACTACATAACTGTTTTGTTCCCATTTAAGCAAATAATACTGTAAGCATAGATTAAAATGTCAATCTTACCAAGCACAGTTCCATAATGTCACATAACATAATAATGTTGAGAAGACAATCTGCTGCCAAGGCATGTACATATTATACACTTAACGTAAGTACATACTTACATATATAGTTACATGAACATACAAATGTACTTAATGACACTTAATTCTTTATAAAGAACAATGAATATTGGAAAAAAATCACTTCGTGAATTATTCTTGTGCAATATAATAATTTTCACATTACTTTTTACAATTTTAGTTAGATTAAAAAAGAAACAATTACCGATCCAGATTTTCGTTATTGGCTCAAAGACACTGTTGGTGTTATTTCTGGATTCCAAGCTGCTGACTGCTACAGCGATCTCATCACCATAGAGCTGGTTGTAATTAAACCCACTAATCCTCAACAGATTACCACCATATCTGAAATATAAAGATGTCATACCTAGATATCCTTAATACAGCATCATGAACCCCCATAGTACTATACACTCCCCGCTCCAACACATAGCTGCACTTTCTATTATGCACAATCTGACTTCAGGATAATATTCTATCAACATTTTACAGCATTCACATTGAAGTTCATTATAAAGGACTTCTTTTCTATCTTCAATGGACATAAAAGTTGTTTTTCAATCAGTTAATTATGAATACCAAAATGATGCTTAACTCTTAAACCTGTTAAGTTTTGAAGAGAAAGTCTGTTAATGTTATGAATGAGAAATGTTGGGCCTTAGGATGAACTAGTAAATTTTTAACTTTCATATAAGATGTTGGTTTTGTAAATTATTTTTGCCAATTACGCTAACTGACGAGCAGTACTATTGCTAAATACCAGAAACAATGACATCCAGCAAAACACATTAATGATTTGAATCACTTATTTAATTCAATATTATCATAAATCAGTTACATGTGTTTAATTCAATATGGCTCATCATAAATCAGTTACATGTATTTAATTCAATATGGCTTATCATAAAATATATCATAAGTTAAGATATTTATTAACCATCTGTTTTTTACCATTTCCCCAAATAAAATCAGTACATAATCATTGCTGAGGATTTCAAATCCTATTGATTGACATCTGTCAAAAACAGAAATTCATCTGAATTTGAAGAATTACTGTCACAGCAAATGGCAAGTGAATCAATAAATTTAAACTGAACAACTTTGGTAAAAAAAAATGTAATTTATATTATTAATTATAACGTTATAAATCAGTTATTTTTGCCTTCCTATGGTATACAACATCTGCCCCTTGGCATGGTAAAATCACTAATATTTCACCTAGGCCTTGTGCATTATAATACATAGTCATTTAGCAGCACCTTAGGTCAATATTTTTTACACTATTAACTATATGTGAAGGTATTGGATAACAGTAAAATTCAAAAATTCTTCAGACCTTCGATTCTAATCACCGATCACCAATCCCATGAGTAAGGCTGTGTATGGGGGGTGTGAGTGAGGATGTGTATGGGGGACATGAGTGAGGATGTGTATTGGGACATGAATGAGGATGTGTATGGGAACATGAGTGAGGATGTGTATGGGGGTCATGAGTGAGGATGTGTATACGGGACATGAGTGAGGATGTGTATGGGGGGACATGAGTGAGGATGTGTATGGGGACATAAGTGAGGATGCTTATGGGGGTCATGAGTGAGGATGTGTATGGGGACATGAGTGAGGATGTGTATGAGGGGACATGAGTGAGGATGTGTATGGGGACATAAGTGAGGATGTGTATGGGGACATGAGTGAGGATGTGTATGGGGACATTAGTGAGGATGTGTATGCGGGGACATGAGTGAGGATGTATGTGTATGGGGACATAAGAGAGGATGTGTATGGGGGACATGGGGGAGGATGTGTTTGGGGACATTAGTGATGATGTGTATGGGGACATAAGAGAGGATGTGTATGGGGACATTAGTGAGGATGTGTATGCGGGGACATGAGGGAGGATGTGTATGTGGGACATGAATGAGGATGTGTAAGGGGGGTCATGAGTGAGGATTTGTATGGGGACATGAGTGAGGATGTGTATGGGGGACATGAGTGAGAATGTGTATGGGGACATGAGTAAGGATGTGTATGGTGACATGAGTGAGGATGTGTATGGGGGACATGAGTGAGGATGTGTATGGGGGGACATGAGTGAGGATGTGTATGCGGGACATGAGTGAGGATGTGTATGCGGGACATGAGTGAGGATGTGTATGTGGGACATGAGTGAGGATTTGTATTTGGGCATGAGTGAGGATGAGTATGGGGGACATGAATGAGGATGTCTATGGGGACATGACTGAGGATGTGTATGGGGACATGAGTGAGGATGTGTATGGGGACATGGTTGAGGATGTGTATGGGGACATGAGTGAGGATTTGTATGGGGACATGATTGAGGATGTGTATGGGGACATGAGTGAGGATGTGTATGGGGACACTGTGTATGCGGGACATGAGTGAGGATATGTATGGGGACATGAGTGAGGATATGTATGGGGACATGAGTGAGGATGTGTTATGGGGACATGAGTGAGGATGTGTATGGGGACATGGTTGAGGATGTGTATGGGGACATGAGTGAGGATGTGTACGGGGACATGAGTGAGGATGTGTATGGGGACATAAGTGAGGATGTGTATGGGGACATGAGTGAGGATTTGTATGGGGGGCATGAGTGAGGATGGTAGGAAGATAGGGACATGAGTGAGGATGTGTATGGGGACATTAGTGAGGATGTGTATGCGGGACATGAGTGAGGATGTGTATGCGGGACCTGAGTGAGGATGTGTATGTGGGACATGAGTGAGGATGTGTATGAGGGACATGAGTGAGGATTTGTATGGGGGGCATGAGTGAGGATGTGTATGTGGGACATGAGTGAGGATGTGTATGAGGGACATGAGTGAGGATTTGTATGGGGGGCATGAGTGAGGATGGTAGGAAGATAGGGACATGAGTGAGGATGTGTATGGGGACACGAGTGAGGATATGAGTGAGGATGTGTATGGGGACATGAGTGAGGAGGATGTGTATGGGGGGACATGAGTGAGGATGTGTATGAGGACAAGACTGAGGATGTGTATGGGGACATGAGTGAGGATGTGTATGTGTACATGATTTAGGATGTGTATGGGGGACATGAGTGAGGATTTGTATGGGGGGCATGAGTGAGGATGGTAGGAAGATAGGGACATGAGTGAGGATGTGTATGGGGACATGATTGAGGATGTGGATGGGGACATGAGTGAGAATGTGTATGGAGACATGAGTGAGGATATGTATGGGGACATGAGTGAGGATGTGTATGTTGACATGATTGAGGATGTGTATGGGGACATGAGTGAGGATGTGTATGGGGCCATGAGTGAGGATGTGTATGGGGACATGATTGAGGATGTGTATGGGGGGCATGAGTGAGGATGTGTAGGGGGACATGAGTGAGGATGTGTATGGGGGGACATGAGGGAGGATGTGTATGCGGGACATGAGTGAGGATGTGTATGGGGGGACATGAGGGAGGATGTGTATGCGGGACATGAGTGAGGATGTGTATGCGGGACCTGAGTGAGGATGTGTATGTGGGACATGAGAGAGGATGTGTATGGGGGACATGAGTGAGGATTTGTATTTGGGCATGAGTGAGGATGAGTATGGGGGACATGAGTGAGGATGTGTATGTGGGACATGAGTAAGGATTTGTATTTGGGCATGAGTGAGGATGAGTATGGGGGGATGTGTATGGGGACATGATTGAGGATGTGTATGGGGGGCATGAGTGAGGATGTGTAGGGGGACATGAGTGAGGATGTGTACGGGGACATGAGTGAGGATGTGTATGGGGACACTGTGTATGCGGGACATGAGTGAGGATATGTATGGGGACATGAGTGAGGATGTGTATGGGGCCATGAGTGAGGATGTGTATGGGGACATGAGTGAGGATTTGTATGGGGGGCATGAGGGAGGATGGGTATGGGGGACATGAGTGAGGATGTGTATGTGGGACATGAGTGAGGATGTGTATGAGGGACATGAGTGAGGATTTGTATGGGGGGCATGAGTGAGGATGGTAGGAAGATAGGGACATGAGTGAGGATGTGTATGGGGACACGAGTGAGGATATGTAAGCGGGACATTAGTGAGGATGTGTATGGGGGACATGAGTGAGGATTTGTATGGGGGGCATGAGTGAGGATGTGTATGGGGGACATGAATGAGGATGTGTTACGGGGGACATGAGTGAGGATGTGTTTGCGGGACATGAGTGAGGATGTGTATGAAGACAAGACTGAGGATGTGTATGGGGACATGAGTGAGGATGTGTATGGGGGACATGAGTGAGGATGTGTATGGGGGGACATGAGTGAGGATGTGTATGGGGGGACATGAGTGGGGATGTGTATGCGGGACATGAGTGAGGATGTGTATGTGGGACATGAGTGAGGATGTGTATGGGGGACATGAGTGAGGATTTGTATTTGGGCATGAGTGAGGATGTGTATGGGGGACATGAATGAGGATGTGTATGGGGGGACATGAGTGAGGATGTGTATGCGGGACATGAGTGAGGATGTGTATGGGGGACATGAGCGAGGATGTGTATGGGGACACGAGTGAGGATATGTATGGGGGACATGAGTGAGGATGGGTATGGGGGACATGAGTGAGGATGTGTATGGGGACACGAGTGAGGATATGTATGGGGGACATGAGTGAGGATATAATTTCATTTGTCAATCTTTTAATTATGAAATCATGTAACAATACTTTGTGCCAACACCTTCCATTGTAAATACTTATGTTATAATTCAAGGCGATTGTTGACCTATATCAGAAACACAATCTGATTAAAATCATGTTACATGGCTTCGTTAACTTCGTACTACGCCTGAACACCTGAGTGTGCCGCGGTCAGGGTCACGTTCAGTTGACCTTTATATTTATAAAAACTCATTAAATTTCGACCAATCAGAGACCCTCTTTTAAAAGGGTGCTCGTAGTTGTAACAAATATATCGGACATTGATGAGAATGATGCGAAAGTTATGAAGTTATTTAAGATCAATCGTCTGAAACCCGAACAATAAAATATACTCGAAGCTTTATTAGAGAAGAAAGACTGTATGGCGGTGTTGCCTATGCAATTATTACTCAATGGGTATGTTTTCCTTGGCATCCTAGAAATGTCAGTTCCCGCCGCCATATTTGTTTTGAAAAACTAATCTGTTCGATACCCCTCGCTATTTATCTATCAACCATGATATTCCGATTTGCTGGCAAACTTTTGCCAGCGCGCCTCTGATTGGTTCATCTAAAAGGCACTTGAACGTGAGCCTGACCGCGGCACATTCAGATACATGTTCAGGCGGAGCTATGTAACATATGATTTTAATCAGATTGTCAGAAACAGGAATTATGTATTTCTAAGAGAAGCATATGATTTTCTATAAACATGTATAATATAAAAGTATGTGAGGAAAAGGAAGTGAACTCGTGATTCCTGGTTATCATGTGTATGAGCAGTCAAGGAACATGAAGGTAAAATACTGCCTTGCTTACTGGCAAGTGGCAAGCTACCTTTTTCAGATCTAGAGTTAGGCAACATCAAGCATGGTCAGTGGCTGGATGGGTGCCCGCTTGCATGCTTCATTTATCTAACCCTCATTAGTTAATTTTGAAAGTGTAAAAAGATACTTGGTAAACCTGGATTATTTACATAATCTGAAAATTAATTAACTTGACTATAATAAACATGATTAACCAGCCAGCACCAATGTATACGTGAGGACCATTAAATTAGTTTACATTTAGGGACGTATAGCGGGTACCATTACCTATTGTGTATTTGTAATAGCAGACAGGTTCTGTACAGAACATCCTCTACTTCAGATGTCAACTTTTAAGATAATTTGAAAGAAGAAACTACAGACAGCAGACAGACTTCCAAGAAATCATAATTAATTCCATAACCTAAATGGGCTCTCCCCCCCCCCTAGGTAAAATCTGGATAAATCATAATTAATTCCATAATCTAAACGCTCCCTCCTCAGACCAGGTGGATAAAATAGGGATAAATCATAATTTCATTATCTAAATAATCTCTCCCTTCTTCAACCAGGTGGGTAAAACAGACTAAGCCATATCAGAAATGTGTGTTAAACAGATGTTGGATGTGATAGGCTTTATCTAAGTAGGGTGGAGCTGTACAGGAGCAGTGGTGTACCCATCCACAGTAACTCAGGTCAACAGCCAGGTTCTAATGCATACACATATACTGTATAAATATATCTGATAACAACCATATATACCGCTAGTTTATATTTTCAGTGATGAATCATGCTAGGAACAAATAGTTGTTACCATAATCTTATACAAATATGAAATGATCTAAAAATTAATAGAAATTTTTGGCACTATCATCGTTAATGATATGACTGTTTGCATTACATGTGCACAGATTGTAGTGATAATTTACTGATAAAGGTTCACTCAGCTCTGTCCTAGCTAGTACATGTAGAGGTGGGGACGAAAGGTTAACAAGTATGTACTGTGTGCATGTGTACACAACTCAGCTGACCTTCCTGCAATCAAGTATCCAGGGTGTGAGAAACATAATCTGGTTATGGGACTTGTTCGCTGGAAAGTTCAGATGGCTTTTAATGGTTGTTGACAGCAATGACAATGACTCTTGATAATATAATTAAGGAAGAATTAAAGTAAAGTTCTGTTAGGAAATTTAATTTCAAATCTGTATTGTTAAGATAACAAGAGGCTCAATGGGGTCGTATCGCTCACCTGGTATTAATCTCACACTTGTAACATTAAAAGTGATCTTTAATAAAGCTATAGGCAAAATATCAGTATTTATGACTATAAGTTATTCAAAAGAATCTGTTAAAAGATTTAAAATCATTTGACCCATGTGACCTTGAAAGTTGAACAAGGTCATTACGTTTAACAAACTTTATAGCCCTTCATCGCGGCATGTAACTTGCAAAATATCACCACCCTAGACCTTATGTTTATTGAGATTAGGTCATTTAAATGTTTATACATATTTGGCTAAATGTGACCTTGAAAGTGGGTCAAGGTCATTCAAATGAAAAAGCTTGATAGCCCTTTATCCAAGCACACTACTAACCAAATATCAATATTCTAGGCCTTATGGTTATTCAGAAGAAGTTGTTTAAAGTGTTAAACATATTTGACCCCTGTGACCCTGTATATTATTCAAGATCATTCATTTGAACAAACTTGGTAGCCCTTCATCCCAGCATGCTACTGGCCAGGCCAAGTGAGCTAAAAACATGTGATGGGAATGGAATGTAATTAAAGGTTGATCAACAGAAGTTCTAAATTCATCGTAACTAATCCTTTTACTGATCTTTTTAAAAAGGGAATGTCTTGAAACTTTGAAATGGATTTTCCTTAAACATTTCAAAATAGCAATATCTGGGTGAAGTCTCCCTTGATTTAAATATTTCGTAACTTTTCAATCCATCTACAGTTGATATCTGCAGTGGAGACCCACTAACTTATCTGCAGTAAATTAAGACTCATTAAGTTATCTACAGGGGAGACTCTTAGTAATATCTGGGTGAAGTTTCCCTTGATTTAAATATTTCGTAACTTTTCAATCCATCTACAGTTGATATCTGCAGTGGAGACCCATTAACTTATCTGCAGTAAAGACTCATTAAGTTATCTACAGGGGAGACTCAATTAACTTACCTACTCACTGTATAGAAAAATTTAACTTCTGACTGTATAGATACTCATAAATTTAACTTCTGACTGTAAAGATAGTCATGAATTTAACTTCTGACTGTAAAGATACTTATAAAGTTAACTTCTGAGAAGACTCAAGAATGGAACTCGTTTATTTATCTTCAGTGGAAAGTCATTATTCTGAAAATCAGACATCAGGGAAAGGAATTACTATAATTCCCTTTAATTTATCCAGCAATTTGTTTTTATTTCAGAAGTTACCCATTAACTTATCTGCAGTAAAGACTCATTAAGTTATCTACAGGGGAGACTCAATTAACTTACCTACTCACTGTATAGAAAACCTCAACTTCTGACTGTATATATACTCATAAATTTAACTTATGACTGTATAGATACTTCTAAATTTACCTTCTGACTGTAAAGATAATCATAAATTTAACTTATGACTGTATAGATACTTCTAAATTTACCTTCTGACTGTAAAGATAGTCATGAATTTAACTTCTGACTGTAAAGATCTTCATAAATTTAACTTATGACTGTATAGATACTTATAAATTTAACTTCTGCCTGTATAGATACTCATAAATTAAACTTCTGACTGTAAAGATAATCATAAATTTAACTTATGACTGTATAGATACTTATAAAGTTAACTTCTGACTGTAAAGATACTTATAAAGTTAACTTCTGAGAACACTCAAGAATTGACCTAGTTTATTTATCTTCAGTGGAAAGTCATTATTCTGAAAATCAGACATCAGGGAACGGAATTACTATAATTCCCTTTAATTTATCCAGCAATTTGTTTTTATTTCAGAAGTTACCCATTAACTTATCTGCAGTAAAGACTCATTCAGTTATCTACAGGGGAGACTCAATTAACTTAGCTACTCACTGTATAGAAAACCTCAACTTCTGACTGTATAGATACTTCTAAATTTACCTTCTGACTGTAAAGATCTTCATAAATTTAACTTATGACTGTATAGATACTTCTAAATTTACCTTCTGACTGTAAAGATACTCAAAAATTTAACTTCTGACTGTATAGATACTCATAAATTAAACTTCTGACTGTAAAGATAATCATAAATTTAACTTATGACTGTATAGATACTTCTAAATTTACCTTCTGACTGTAAAGATAATCATAAATTTAACTTATGACTGTATAGATACTTCTAAATTTACCTTCTGACTGTAAAGAAACTCATAAATTTAACTTATGACTGTATAGATACTTATAAATTTAACTTCTGCCTGTATAGATACTCATAAAGTTAACTTCTGACTGTATAGAAACTTATAAATTTAACTGCTGACTGTATAGATACTTCTAAATTTACCTTCTGACTGTAAAGATAATCATAAATTTAACTTCTGACTGTAAAGATACTCATAAAGTTAACTTCTGAGAAGACTCAAGAATTGAACTCGTTTATTTATCTTCAGTGGAAAGTCATTATTCTGTAAATCAGACATCAGGGAACGGAATTACTATAATTCCCTTTAATTTATCCAGCAATTTGTTTTTATTTCAGAAGTTTGTAGGGTTTGACAGACACACTGATGCAATTGTCAAGCGATTTTTTTGTGGAATGGCCTTGACATTTTAAATGTGTCTATCAAATTAGTTATTAGTAACTAAACAAAATGTGAATACCTTTTACAGGAGTCCTGTGCATCAGCAAATGTGATTTTCCTTGTGTCCACATATAGACACTTTGTACCAACCTTTCTCCAGCCTACAAATAAACAATTTAATCATTACTACAAGATTAATGCAAAAGTTTGTATAGATCTATTATATACAATTCAAACCAACATCAACATCAGCAAACTTAAGGGTCCAGTGGCCAATACAGGGTTTTTGAGGGGACCTACACATAGGCTACCGTGGCTTATCTAGGATTTCTAAAATAAGTTCACCCACCTTCCCCTCACACCTTTTTCTCTCTCTATGCTTTTCTCTCATGAATCTTTCTTTCTCTCTCCTTTTTCTCACTCTTCTTTTCTCTCTAAACAACTTTCCTTCACTCTTCCTGGTCTTTCTAAAAACTGTTTTCTCACTCATCCCTTCTTTCTCAGCCTCTTTATACCTCTTCTATTTTCACCAAAGCTATATTCTCTTTCCCCTTTTAATTAAGGATCTCTAAATTTTGAGCATATTCCTATTTTCTGATGATCATCTGAAAAAACAGCTCAATAGATGCCATTTAAAACAAAGGTGTTTTTTCCCCTAGTTTGTACATACCAACATTTTATTTAAGCATTTAATTCCTTGTAAGCATAATCTCCCCCATGAGCATTTCAAAAAGTTGGAAGCATGAGTTGCCATTGTGTGGTGGCAGTTTTTGGCATATCTGTTGAGGGAGGGATACTTGCCTAGTGTTGTTCTAAACCCATTCAATTACTTTTTAAACTCAATCCCTTATTGAAACAGGTTAGCTTATAATAATTACAACTTCAAAAGGGGAAAAAAATAACAAGGATTACTATTATTAATATTATTTTCAAAACACTTGAATTCAATAATGACTTTAATAGTTATTTAGATAAGAAATTGTCATACTGCCTCAGATACATGTACTATACCTCTTTACTTACCTTCAGGGCAGGTTAACCAAACAATATCCTTTTGGTATAAAGGTAGATTGAATTCGTAATTTGGAGTCTGAAAAATAAAATGTCTGGGTTAAATACCAAGCAGACCTCGACCTGTGTAACAGTTAAACAGGCAAATTCTTGTTTTTAAGGAAATCAGACTTTTGTTCCCATCAACTTGAACAAAGATAGATTACATCTATACAGCAAATTCATATTAAAATCAACCTATTAAATTACATCTATAGAAAACCAACTTAAGTCCCATACTGTTTGTTATAAAATATATTGCATTGTAGTAACACAGTATAGTTAAAATGTAGTGTGAAATTCTTTATCCATTATACAGAATTTCAGAAGTAAGATTATATATGAGATATATGCTTTATTCTAGGTATTGTTCATTTCATCAAGAAAGATTTATAATGTTTTCAATTGCTTTATATTGAATTTCCAGATCGTTTTAACTATTTAAATTTCAACCACTCAGAGTCTTGACAGATCTGATAGTATGTGTCTCTGTACAGAAAGAACATTAGAGGTTCCTGAGGGGGTCAAACAAAACATTTTGAACTTAAGTCTATACCAGAATCACCAAATGAATGTTTTGGTCACAGATAGAGTAACATGTATTATTTGCCTTTTACCTGAATAAATATTATTATCATTTTTATTATTATTGTTAACATTGTTTTAGTCTTTAATTTTACCTGCAATCATTTCCTTTCTGCTATATTTTTTAATCACAACAAAACGGTTTGCATACATTATAGGAATACATCCATTTAGCCTACTAAAAATAAAGAAAGAAATTCATAGAACAGAAAAGGACACCATACTTTTTGGCGTTGCCTGTCCAGTACAAAAAAATAGCCAGTGGCAGTGGAACCAGACCAGTCATGACTGTCGCAGGATTTTGATTAGCAGACGATGACGAGTTGTGGAAACTGGCATATTAAAATTGACTCCACTGTATTGCATATCAATTTAGCCTTTTCCAGTTGTATTTCAATTGTTTTATAATAAAAAAAAACGTCCGGTAGAAAAACTAATTTTCTACTGGTATTGTGTTAACAGCGTGAACTTGCTTGCTTTCGCCTCGTTTCTTCAACACTTACAAACCACTACAGTAGGCCTACACAAGAACCGTTGACGTCAACAAACTTGCGGTATGGCCGATCGGGAACCGTCGACACTCTCCGTAAACGGGAAAATACTTTTACGGAAAGTGCCGACGGTTCCCGATTGATAATTTGCCAAAATATTCGCAGTTCCAAGGGTGGGAAATCCCAGTTATATGTGTCGCTATTTGATAAACCAGTATTCCACAATTATTACACTAAAATAATTTCTGGAGAACAGTTATATGAAGGATATTGTAAGTGTGATCGGGTGGCGCTGTGATCAGGGCCGTACTCATGAAACCGTTCTTATGCTCACACTCAGATTTTATTATCAAGAAATTCGGCTTGAGTAGGTTTGAGCACAGAATCTATGCTTCTTTTTTTTAATTTTATTTTGCATGTACTGCAGTTTCATCCCACATATTGAGACCCTCTACTGGGCAAAAAAAAGTAATTAATATAAGTTGGTAAAACTTGTTTCATCATATTCATTGTAAAATATATGAATTTTTTATCTATTACTGAAAAAGTCGCATAATTAAAAAATTGTAATAAAAATGCTAGTCTACTTCAATAACGACCCGTAGAAGTGCACTATAATTATCAGAGTCTGTACTACTGGTGTAAAAACGTCTAAACCTATATATATAATACACTCTTGCCGGAGCCACATAGACAATGAATTACGGTATGGCTTGTTGCTATGTAAAACTGTTTTGCATACTAAGTCAATATGCTTTGCTTTTTCTGCGACTACGCCCAAGGTAATGAAGTACAAAATACAGATACGAGCGGAAAATAGGGGTCAACAATGCTGACCCGTGTATCGCCATTTTTTCCTGCTATACGGGCCTGGATGTTAATTGCCCCCTAAACAGCGTGCTACAGGATCTACACCAACAGGCCGGCTACAAGTCCGCCAACATACGGGGTTCTTTTTTCTGAAGCGATCTGATGATGTCGAGATGTAAATATAGACGATTTAAATGACGTAGATACCACATGAGTGAAGTGTGGCAGTAACGAAGGGCGGGGATGGAGAGATGAACGATGACTGATGCAGATGGAAAACGAGACGATAAGAAGATGGACTGATATCGTTAGATACGATGACAATGTTTAGATATATATAGAGAGGAAGCCAGGGTAACACTGTATATAGTAGAAGTAGAAAAATAGTAATCTAAGCGAAGATGGAAAGGCGTCAATTTAGAAATAAATGACAAATTTAAGTTTAACACTCGGGGACACAAACTGAAACACGTGCTCCTTGTAGTGTGATACTGGCGAAAGTCAGATAGAATACATCATGTATGGTAGGAATGGAAGTCAATGGAGTAATATTAATATATACTGTCCGAGTTTTATCAACAAATTACCGATAGGAAGGATACCTGTCCCCACTGCAGGTAAAACAAACTAGAAAATTTAGCATTTCGTACATAGAGTAACAACCCCGTCCCTCCCTTTCTCAATAGCTGTATTGAGGCTGGATCGGGGTCAGATAGAGTGACCCTTTTGTGATCGGAGGTCAGAGTTCGAAACCCGGACTGCCCCAGTAGGTCATGTACGTATGGCTTTCTTTTCAGCTTCTGCCATGCAAGTTAAACGTTTCCAATCCATAGTTATACCGTTTTAGAACGTGGAACGCGGACCTTTAAACAGACATACTTTTGTATCTGTAAATGCTCAGGCAACAATTTCGGAGACCGTTTGTATTCAAACATTACTGTATAAGCGTCATACAACTGATTAGATGCTTTGTGCTTTGTAAAATCTTAAATGCCTCAGTAAAAAACCGACACTTCTAAATATTAACTCTATATACCATTAACTTTATAATACAGGTGATATATATATCATATAGTTTTCAGTTTATTTGCAGAGTAAGTTGATGTCGACAGTATAACATTATAAGGGCCGTGTGTATTTGTGTAATTACCTATGATCGGGTTTGTCGCACTAAACACAAAACGTTGCCTCTGATAGAACGATTCTATAATTACTGGGCACATTCCATTATATACACCACAGGTGCAACGTTTCGGGGAACACGGATAAAAGAACCGGAAACAGAGTATTGCCTGATATTTTACGAATTCAACACAAGCTGCAATATGATATAGGAGAACGCGACACTTTGTGATGACGCCCAAGGTTTGATGGGGTAGTAGGGTACGTTCCGGGTACAGCGTCACTACCACACCGCACTGTATACAATGTGTCTTCTGTACCTTTAACAGTGTTAGTCGATCTTACTAACTCCACACGAATAGTTCCTTAACAGTGTTAGTCGATCTTACTAACCCCACACGAATAGAGTCCATTAAAACGATAGTCATCTAAATATACCAGCAATCCACTTCATTAAAGGGCTTGGTGTCGTTAATGGTGACAAATGATCTTATATTGAATGAATGACCTAACATTACTAGCGTGTTTGGTCTCGACTGTCCCCTCATTCAGTCCACCTACAGGACATAATAACATAGACATAACCAATCCAAATACTTAAAACTGTTTTAATTGAACAGAAAGTGGCAAATAAATTACTTAAAACAGACGGGTTAGATATTTCCGGTCTTATCACGAATATCCGAGTAAGTGTTGACAAGATCACACGTATCGCGTATAGGCAACGTCAAGAATGGCGGCAACTTGTTAGGCTGAACTCCAGCGATGAAGGCTGAAACGTTTGATATATATACAAAAGTAGGTGAAACCTCTTAATTTGTGTTTAATGTTGGCGTCAAACTACTTCGGGAATCAGAGTTAAGGAAGCCTGCAGCAGTAAATCAATGAAACGCTAGTTATACACACCAGTGCTCTAACAAGGGAGTCATTCTTGCCAACTTTTTGAAATTTCCATAGGNTGTACATTGTTTTACGTAACAGTATAACAGTTGTACTTTGTTTTACATAACAGTATAACAGTTGTACCTTGTTTTACATTACAGTGTAACAGTTGTACATTGTTTTACGTTACAGTATAACAGTTGTACTTTGTTTTACATTACAGTATAACAGTTGTAACTTGTTTTACATTACAGTATATCAGTTGTATTTTGTTTTACATAACAGTATAACGGTTGTACTTTGTTTTACATAACAGTTTAACAGTTGTACTTTGTTTTACATTACAGTATTACAGTTGTACCTTGTTTTACATAACAGTTTAACAGTTGTACTTTGTTTAACATAACAGTTTAACAGTTGTACCTTGTTTTACATTACAATGGTACAGTTGTACCTTGTTTTACAAACAGTATAACAGTTGTATTTTGTTTTACATTACAGTATAACAGTTGTATTTTGTTTTACATAACAGTATATCAGTTGTATTTTGTTTTACATAACAGTATAACGGTTGTACTTTGTTTTACATAACAGTTTAACAGTTGTACTTTGTTTACATAACAGTATAACAGTTGTATTTTGTTTTACATTACAGTATTACAGTTGTACCTTGTTTTACATAACAGTTTAACAGTTGTACTTTGTTTTACATAACAGTTTAACAGTTGTACCTTGTTTTACATTACAATGGTACAGTTGTACCTTGTTTTACAAACAGTATAACAGTTGTATTTTGTTTTACATTACAGTATAACAGTTGTATTTTGTTTTACATAACAGTATAACAGTTGTA